CATCACACATCCGAGTTCAATGAACTATCAGCTCCATTTTCGAATTGCCAACAAGCTTTTCCACTCCATTCATACAAATTTTTAGCTTTCCGATTTCAATCAAAAATGCAAATGCTATTCATAGAGCAGCTCATTCACACTACTCGAATCGTCTACTCTCTATAGATCTGTGTATTCATGGCTGATTCCTCATTGGCAATCATTTATGCTCGACGAAGCGCTGAACTTTTCCACTGAGTTGGCCAAAGCAGCCAACGAGATGTGGCCGAAAGCGAATTGTGAGAAATACATTGGCAAATTTGCAGTAGATAAGCATTATCTATCTCATTAGCTAATTAGCGCACGAGAAAAATTTTCAGCAATAAAAAACTTTTCGTATACCAATTTTTGCAATTGGCCAAAAAGTTGTTGGCCAACAATTTTGGGTGCTGTATCGCTGCTGTTGTTGTTGTTGTTGCTGTTGCTGCTGATGTTTTTCGCCCACTAATTAGAAAGTTTAAATGGATGACACGCCCAGCTAATGCAAGGATAGAACTTCTCGCGATACTGAGCGAAATTTTTAAATGTAGCTGCAACGAAACAATTTTCGACGGGGGGAAACACCGGCTCGAACGGCGAAAACATGCTCGAGGTGTTTAGGAAAGCTGTGGTAGGGAGTGCTCGACCTGGAGATACCCTTTGAAAAAACTGTCCTTAAGGCTTTAAGACTCTTACGTCAAATTTTGGTCAAAAGGCAGCAGCTCTACCAACACCGCCTCTACATAATTAAATATAAATAACTAGAAATAAAAATGATCAAATTAACAAAAGTTCGATTAGCTACAACAATGCGTGTTACAATAAATTATAATCGATAATGAATATATTTATCGATTTTTTAATCCAACTTAATCTGATTTTGCCATAGCTCTACTATAAAAGTACATACGGCCGTACAGCATCAGCCGGACAGTGCTGAAACAGCGCTCACCGCATTCTCCCCTTCAATTTATATGCTTTATGGGCTCTGCCACGCCCCATTCCAGCGGTTACGCACCTTTTAACAAAGCCATTATGCCCCGATTTCCAATTTTCAATGGGCTCGGGCTACATATAATGCGCTCTGTGTGTGGGCTAACAAAAGCAATTTCCTACGATTGATTTATGATGCATGTGCGTGTGCGTGTGTGTGTGTGTGTGGCAGACATACGCTTTTTAAGCTAACAGTTAATAAGCTAACCCCAAACTCTCCCTCTCTCTCTCTCTTTCTCTCTACCTCTCTCATTTAGACTGTCCCCGCTGAATATGCCGGACTATGCGGAAGTTGCCTGCTCGACATTCAAAAGCCCCCACAACAACAATGCAGCGCCGGCTTCCGGCGGCTCATCGCTGTACGACAGCTGCGGCGCGTATGCGACAACGAATGTGGTGGCCAATGTGAAGCTCTACCAGAATCGCTATGCCGCAAAGCCGGGTGGCAGCAGCAGCAATGGGGGCAACACTGATTACCAATCGGCGGGCATGTACTCGGCGCCGGCCAGTGCGCATTACGGGTGCCTGGAGGGCAATCCCATGACCATATCGACGGCGTCGACGGCTCTGGTGGGCAGCTCGCCGGCGAAGCTGAAGAAGATCAATATAACCGAGAACAAGCTGGAGCAGCAGCTGCAGCAGAACGAGACGACGGCGATGACGACGACGATGCCGAAGACGGAGCGCACGAATCCCTTCAATCAGCAGCAGCAGCTGCTGCTCGCCAGCAACGCCCTGAAGCAGGGCCTGGGCGCCTATGCGAACACCACGCTGGCGGCTCAGATGGCCAGCGGCGGCGGGGCCGGCACGCTGCGGCGCCAGCGCCAGCCGAAGACGCTCTTCAAGAGCGAGAACAACATCCTGGGCAAGTCGAGCCGGCAGCAGCCAGCTAACAACGTGGACTTCCTAACCGGCGGACCGCCAGCATCGTCGGCCAACGGAGCGGATCAACTGGACGCCGACTTCTCGGCCCTGTGCAATTCGACGAATCAGCTGCTCAACGACTGGAGCTCCAATGACTTCCATCACTTCGGCAGCAAGCAGCCCAGCAAGCAGCATCTGTATGTCAAGGCTAAGGATGGCACCTGGTCCGCGGTCAGCTCCGATGCCTATCAGACCTTCAAGCAGCAGCAGCAGCAGCAGCAACAGCAGCAGCAGCAGTTCCATGGCGGCTCAGGTGACAACAAGCTGCCCCTGCTGATAGCCAACCCCGCCCATAGCTCGAGTAACCTAGCGTCTGATAGCAAATTCCTGAGTAGCTTCGGCACCAGCGCCAATGTCTAAGCACCTATACATATATCTATATCTATACATACATATATCGGAAGGGGATGATCTAGCTAAAAAATCCCTTGAGTTGTGTTTTTGCTCAGTAGACTTAAGTGAAAGACTAGAAACGAAAGTTGTGAACTGCATTTGGGCAAGAGCTGGATGAGAGCGAGCTACGTGATGGGTGTTGGACTACAAAAAGGGTTAGTGAGTGAGTCAGAGAGGGAGGGGGAGAGAGTGAAACATCTGTGAAATTGCAAATGCGAGAGAGGAAGAGACGATAACTGACAGTGAGCAAGTGGGCAGTGAGCAAGTTAAAGGTAAACTGTTAAATAACATCGACAACAGTGAATATAAAAGAAAGATCAGAGTCAGCTGAAACTGAAAAGCTCAAAGTTTACATGAAGCCAGAATATCAATTCGCTGCAGAAATTTTACTGTTGTTCACGCTTACAGACTATGCAATGCTAACAGAAATGCCAAAGTGACATCATCGTTAACAGGGGCATGCAGTTTCTGCAAGAGAGCTTTGCAATGTAAACGGTCTCTGGTAACAGCTTATATTAACATCTCTTTGTTGTTAACATTGCAAACAGACTTAAGTGAATTGCGCAATGTTAAGTTAACAGGCGAAATTGGAAGCAAACAACTTAACAGAGACTGGAAGCTAACACAGTCTGTAATTCGGATAGCTGCGCTGGGATTGGGTAATTTCTGCTAACAAACTATACAGTGCGCAATGCTTGACGAAGAGCTTATTATGTTAATTTATACAAATGATAGCAGTGTATTTTTATGTTAACTAATAGCTACGACTTAAATGAATATCTTGCAACTGTTAAATCATTCCATTCTATGGAACTCTACAGCCCTCAAGCAATTCGTATTTTCACAGATTAGCTAAAAATAAATTGCAAGTCAATAAATATAGTTTGCACTCACATAGCTCCATATAAAAACCTAAAGCCTCTTTAGTAAACCCCAAATCAACTTAAGAGTAGCTAACGCCCGCTAGACTAGATAAACCCGTAATGCAAGTTCGAATTCCACAACAACGAAAAGGTGAGTGTGTCATATATGAAATATATATATATAGTAAAGATATATATACATATATATATATAATCTATATTTATATGTATATAGAACATATTGGCTTGTAAATAGTTTTGAAACCTTATAAAGCATATGGAATATGAAAATTCTACTCAAAAGCTAAGCGACACAAAAATAATATTGAAAAGAAATTCCCACACACACACGAAAAAATAAATAGCACCGACGTAGTTAAAGTAAGTAAAGATAAATGTAATTTCTAGTACCAAATCCGATATAATTGAGCCAAAAAAAAAGAAGTATAATTATGGAAAAGTAAACCCTAACGAAATACATAAAAATTACCAAATAAAAACTCACCTAAAATACCAACTATTTAGAATTGTATTTAAAATCCAGCAGCACTTAAATAATAAATACAGAGAATTCATGCAATGTGTAATAATCCCCCAGATAGGCGACATAAATGCTAATAATAAGGCTGTTAAATGTAAAATATCATAAATAATAAATAATCTCCCCCAAATGGAAAACGCGAATTAAAGAAGAAGAGCGAAAAATGAGCTCTTTAACTGCATTGAAAATTGTTTAATTGAAGCATTTAAATTGTAATTTAATTGACGAACTAGTTTTAGTTACTGTAGCTAAACTGAAAAATAGAAAGCAGCTAAAATATATATATATATATAAATCTGAATAATATATATATATATATATCGAGTTGTAAGCGATAAATTAATTAATTATGCAGCAAAAAAATTAATGCTAAAATAAATAAAATACTAAATAACTATCAACAAAGTTAATACCAGCTTTTGTTTCTTTTATCACATATTATAAATATCTATATTCTCGATATTTTTAGCGGCGACCGTTTGGAGGCGTCACAGCGACACCTACTTTCTGCTGGACAATTCCATGGATTTTACGATTTGAAAAGAGGTAAATTAAGCGTAAAAGAAGATTTAATGCTCGACTAGCCAATACCCTGGCGTATTTGCTGAGTGTGCATAGAAGAACAAGTTATTAAGCTGACGATTGTTCGAATATTCTGTTGAATAGAAGATTTTATTATTAAAGTACAGAGCTCTTAACTTTTTCTATCTATTTTTTGTGACTTATTTTTATAAATTAGATTTAATGGCTCGGTAAAACTATACTATATAGAGAATCAATACCAGATGACAACAAGATAATTAGTTCTGAAAATTTAAATCAGGCCGACGGAAAGTCAGAAACATCTAAAACATAATTTTATATCATATCGTATATAGATCGTTTTATGTTTAGGAGTAAAGATGGTGATTCTTTGATCTATATTTGAAGCCTCTGCGCATTTCCCAAAGCCATATATAGAGCCAAAATAATTAAGATCATATTGGATGATATAGGGTATATGTATATACATATATGATATAGGATGATATATGGCAGGTTTTTGAATTATGACTATACTCATCAACAGATATGAATCTACTTATGTATATGAAGTATTATATTGATCGAAACGAACTTGAGTTCTGAGAATTATTCTAGAGGTTGCGAGATCGAAGAGTTGATAGATATGGAAGAGACAGATATACGGATAGGCCTATATCAATTCAACAACATATTAGCTCAGATAAGGAATATATTCCTGTATATAACAAACTCCGTTGAATCCCCCGCACATCTGCCTATGGCAAAGCCTTTAGCATAACCAATATACCCCATATACCCTAGGCGAGCCTGTTAAGCGCATAAAAATACAAAAATCGAGTTCGATTCGCATTGCCGGCTGTCCTCTAATTAATTATGCTGCATCTACTACCGCCCCTCCCCACTCCCGGCCATGCCCGCGCCCACGCCGAGCATCATTAAAACGAAATGAGTTATTGTTTATAGTGATACAGTCTGTGCCACGCCCCCTCCTACTCTATCCACCTGGGCCTGCAGCCAGGCCGTCCATTTAGCTGTAAACATGGCAATTGGAATTTCAGCAATAATCAAATGAAATGTCTGCCTATCGCTCTCTCTCTCTCTCTCACACACACACACACTCTTGCCCTGCCTAGTGCTATCTCGCTCTAGTCGAATCTCTATTTTTGTTTTCACATTTGCTTGTAAAACAATTTTACAAATTGTTATTGACAATTTATGTCTGTTGTTTTCTGTTCGATTTTTGTTATTTTTGTTTTTGTTTTGTTTTTTCTTCCCTTTGTCCTCATCTGCTCGGCCAACGGATGCAGCTCGGAATTGTGCCTACAAATTGCACAAACAAATGAAAATCAATTCAACCAAATGAAGCGCAATGCCAATTGCAACAATTTCCACATCCCATTGGACATTATTAGAACGAATTAAGTATGTATGTATATAAGATATATGAACTGGGAATAGTTTATAATGGAAATGTTAGAGTTAGTTATATACATATATATACTGTTTATATGAAATATATAAGGGCTTAAAGTACGATATACAGCAGAACAATTTTCATGAACTGGTGAAGACTTTGAGATAATTGGGTTCAAGTAAATGGGTTAAGCAAGCCAATCCTAGATTTCTTAAAGGAAAATATCTAGAGGTTAGAAATATTTTATATATATATATATATAGCTAGTGCATAAGCATGTATAATTTTTTTATATTAATTTGAAAAATATTTATTTCTGTACATAAAAGCGAAGAATTTCATTTAATATTTAAATATAAATATAATACATTTAAATATATTTATAAAATAATTTATAAAAAAAATATAAATATAATAAATATAAATTTATAAAATAATTAAAAAAATATATAAATATAATACACATTAAATATATTTATAAAATAATTTAAAAAAAATTTATATAAATAAAAAAAATTTAAATATATTTATAAAATAATTTATAAAAATTATAAATTTAATACATTTAAATATATTTATAAAATAATTTACAAATAAAATAAATTTTTTATATGAATATATTTACCATTTTTCTTATATAGCAATAAATTAAAAAAATATTTATAATACTCTAAAAAAAAAAA